ATGTTTTTATGACTTTTTATGCATTACTACACTATGACGTTTTTATGACATTTTATGCCTTACTATACTATGACCATTCATGCCTTATTATAGTATGAATTTTTTATGACTTTTTTATGCCATACTATAGTATTACATTTTTATGAATTTTTATGCCTTACTCTACTATGACGTTTTTATGCCTTATCATACAATGACGTTTTTATGACTTTTAATACCTTACTATACTATGACCATTCATGCCTTATTATAGTATGAATTTTTTATGACTTTTTTATGACATCCTATAGTATTACATTTTTATGACTTTTTATGCCTTACTATACTATGACATTTTTATGACTTTTTTATGCCATCCTATAGTATTACATTTTTATGACTTTTTATGCCTTACTATACTATGACATTTTTATGACTTTTTATGCCTTACTTTAGTATGACTTTTTATGCCTTACTATACTATGACATTTTTATGACGTTTTATGCCTTACTATACTATGCCATTTTTTTGACTTTTTATGCCTTACTTTAGCATGACTTTTTATGCCTTACTATACTATGACATTTTTATGACTTTTTATGCCTTATTATACTATGATGTTTTTATGACATTTTATGGCTTACTATAGTATGACCATTCATGCCTTATTATAGTATGAATTTTTTATGACATTTTATGCCATACTATAGTATTACATTTTTATGACTTTTTATGCCTTACTCTACTATGACGTTTTAATGCCTTATCATACAATGCCATTTTTTTGACTTTTTATGCCTTACTTTAGCATGACTTTTTATGCCTTAGTATACTATGACATTTTTATGACTTTTTTATGCCATACTATAGAATTACATTTTTTTGACTTTTTATGCCTTACTATACTATGACATTTTTATGACTTTTTATGCATTACCATACTATGACGTTTTTATGCCTTATCATACAATGCCATTTCTTTTACTTTTTATGCCTTACTTTAGTATGACTTGTTATGCCTTATTATACTATGACATTTTTATGACTTTTTATGCCTTATTATACTATGATGTTTTTATGACTTTTTATGCCTTACTATACTATGACGTTTTTATGCCTTTTTATGCTGTACTATACTATGACCATTCATGCCTTATTATAGTATGAATTTTTTATGACTTTTTTATGCCATACTATAGTATTACATTTTTATGCCTTTTTATGCCTTACTCTACTATGACGTTTTTATGCCTTATCATACAATGACGTTTTTATGACTTTTTATACCTTACTATACTATGACCATTCATGCCTTATTATAGTATGAATTTTTTATGACTTTTTTATGACATACTATAGTATTACATTTTTATGCCTTTTTATGCCTTACTCTACTATGACGTTTTTATGCCTTATCATACAATGACGTTTTTATGACTTTTTATACCTTACTATACTATGACCATTCATGCCTTATTATAGTATGAATTTTTTATGACTTTTTTATGCCATACTATAGTATTACATTTTTATGCCTTTTTATGCCTTACTCTACTATGACGTTTTTATGCCTTATCATACAATGACGTTTTTATGACTTTTTATACCTTACTATACTATGACCATTCATGCCTTATTATAGTATGAATTTTTTATGACTTTTTTATGCCATCCTATAGTATTACATTTTTATGACTTTTTATGCCTTACTATACTATGACATTTTTATGACTTTTTATGCCTTACTTTAGTATGACTTTTTATGCCTTATTATACTATGACATTTTTATGACTTTTTATGCTTTATTATACTATGATGTTTTTATGACTTTTTATGCCTTACTATACTATGACGTTTTTATGCCTTTTTATGCTGTACTATACTATGACGTTTTTATGCCTTTTTATGCTGTACTATACTATGATGTTTTTATGCCTTTTTATGCCTTACTATACTATGACGTTTTTATGACTTTTTATGCATTACTATACTATGATGTTTTTATGACTTTTTATGCATTACTACACTATGACGTTTTTATGACATTTTATGCCTTACTATACTATGACCATTCATGCCTTATTATATCTTTTACTTTTTATGCCTTACTTTAGTATGACTTTTTATGCCTTATTATACTATGACATTTTTATGACTTTTTATGCTTTATTATACTATGATGTTTTTATGACTTTTTATGCCTTACTATACTATGACGTTTTTATGCCTTTTATGCTGTACTATACTATGACGTTTTTATGCCTTTTTATGCTGTACTATACTATGATGTTTTTATGACGTATGCTTTACTATACTATGACGTTTTAATGCCTATTTATTCTCTACTATACAATGTAGTTTTTATGACTTTTTATGCCTTACTATACTATGACGTTTTTATGACTTTTTATGCCTTACTATATTATGATGTTTTATGCCTTTTATTCCTTACTATAATATGACATTTTTATGACTTTTTATGTATTACTATACTATGACATTTTTATGACTTTTTATGCCTTAGTTTAGTATAACTTTTTATGCCTTATTATACTATGACATTTATATGACTTTTTATGCATTACTATACTATGACGTTTTTATTAAATTAAACATTAAACTATGACTTTTTCATCACTTTTTATGTCATATTATGCTATAAGGTTTTTATGAATTTTTTATGCCATACTATAGAATTATATTTTCATGCCTTATCATACTATCGGGTCTTTATGCTTCACTATACTATGTCGTTTTTATGACTTATTATGCCTTACTATACAATGATGTTTTTGTGACTTTTTTTGCCTTAATATAGTATGACGTTTTTATGCCTCACTAGACTATGTAGTTTTTCGCACTTTTTATGCCTTTTTATACTATAATGTTCTTATCGCTTTTTATGCCTTACAATACTATGACCTTTTTACGACTTTGTATGCCTTAGTATACTGTCGTTTTAATTTTTTTTTACTGTCAGTTTTTATGATCTACTATAGTTTCATTTCATGAATTTTTATGCGTCAATATACAATGACCTTTTAATGACTTTTCATGCCTTACTAAACTATGACTTTTTTTTGACTGCTTATGCATTACCATACTGTTTTTTATGCCTCATTATACTTTAACTATTCATGTATTAATGTACAATGAGTTTTTATGACTTACTATACTATGACTTTTCATCTGGTACTATACTATGCCATTTTTTGCCTCACTGTAATATGACTTTTTATATCTTACAACAATATGACATTTTTATACCATTACTCTACCATGGCACCTTGTCTTGAATCACTATACTATGAATTTTTTCTATGCTTTACTGTACTATGACTTTTCATGCCTTACTATACTACCCTGTTTTTATGCATTATTATTCTATGACTGATGACATATTTATGACAGATATGTCCCTATATCAAGAGTGATGTTAGCATATGTGTCCCTCATAAGAGGATATATTATTATGACATCTATACATCCTCTGGATATATGAAACCATAATTTCATAACAAATATGAAATATTCATAGTAAAATGCAACATTATTAAAGCAACATGGTTATTAAAATTCTATATGTTTGTATATAATTTACTCAACAATTTCTCATTCAATTTAAACATACATGTTTGTCTTATATTTACATATATAATATGAACACATACGGACAGGCAGGAGTTATATAAATATATATTCATGTAACATATGTCTATAATATAAACAGACATACATGAAATACATGTTTCTATTAGCTAGACACATATGTCAATAGATGATATTGTTTCCATTTCCAACAGGCTTTATATGTAATTTTTTAAATATATAGGCAATCATACGCTCATAATGATGAAACAGTAATAAAAGTTAGTTAAATGTGATGAAACTGGTTGAAATAGTGGTTAGAAGTAGTTAAAATTGTTGAAAGTTAGGGAAGTGGATGAATGGTGAGCTAAAAGTGGTGGATAAATGTTTGAAATATTAGCGGATAAGTGGTTAAACTCATTAGCTATAAGTAGTGGACAAATGGTTAGCTAAAAGTAGTGGATAAGTGGTTAAACTTAATGGTTAAGATAAATTAATAGACTAATGTATAGCCGGTTAAAACAGATTGCTAAATTATGGATAACATGATGGTTAGCTACATGGTAGGTTAGTGGACAAATGTTTAAAATGGCTAAAATGAATGAGCAAATGGTTTGAAAAGTTAGCTGAAGGTGGTGTAAGCTTAAGTGTGGGTAAGTATAAGAATTGTTAAATGCTGTGGATAAATGTTTGAAATAGCTAAAACGGTAAAATTGTTCCTGGGGGTCCCCTTCAAAAAGGGTAATAATTTGTTTTCACTACAATTCCATCCAAGTAACATAATGACAGAATGTATGACTTTTTTGAACACTTTCTATAATAACACATCTAAAACCAAAAATCTTATAAGATGTGGAACCTTGGGACTAAATCTTATCACATGCGGGCCCATGGTCTAATTTGTGTCAGTTTAGGGGTCCTTTATGTGAAAAAAAATTAAGAACCGCTGGTATATGGGACAGACAAGCTTGGAAACCACTGCTGTAGTTTACAAGAAATTCTGAGCTCTTCTACCAGATACCCAAAATCAATGGAGGACATTCACCTAATAGTGAAGTCTGTTATCTCCCTACTCCCCCACACACACAGTGAAGAGGAAGGAAACATAACTAACAGACACGTGTGCAAACAGACACACACAAAAGAGGTGCCCCTTGCTCAAATTACTGGTTTTAGAGGAAGGATCATAGACTGTTCAAATGTCATGAAGCATCATAGCATGCATGCTTCTTCCCTTATATAGTAACACAATGTGACACAATCTATTGCAGTGATTTAAATAGTTGGTCAGTCTTGCAGTAATGCCCGGACTGTAATTTGGCTGCCTAACTACACTGAAACACCAACTTCCCTTCCTTAATTGGTAGCATTTCACATACCATAACATGTGGTACACTATTTGGGCTGCAGGGTGTTGTACATGAATGTCAGTTTACATCCAACACATTATAGCCTTTATTAGAAAAAAATGCAAAACAGGAAAAGGTAGTAAATACAGATATTAAGTAAAATGAAATTAAAAAAATCAAACAGTAGTTTTGAGCATGTGAACACACATAAACACACACAAAAAGCAAAATTTTTCCTGTTACAGCAACATGATTGCAATCAGCATTATTAACAAACTTGGGAGGTTATGAGATACAGTACTGTGCAAAAGCTTTAGATTCCTGTCCCTCGAACAAATATCAGCAGGCAGGCATCTGCTTGGTCTGAAGCTCATTCTGCACCAAGACAGTGTCCCCAAACATACAGACAGAGTCATAAAGAACTACTGTATCTTCAGAGCCAAGAACAATGAGTCCTGTGATAGACGGGTTGTTCTGCACTTCATATGAATGGATAAATAAGAACGACTTGCGGCATTATTTTTGAAATAATATTTTTCATACTTTTAGTGTCTAAACTTTTTGCACAGTACTGTGCATTACCAGAAAAACAAAATGCATTTTAATTATGTACAATGTATTTTACCCAAAAACTGACCATAACACTATAAGGCGCAAAGTCTAATAAGTGCAGTTCTTGTAAATGGCACTAAAAGCATGTAGACACTGACATTCTTATTTCCAAGGAATAATTTATTAATTTCCCCCTTGTTCTCCTCCGCCTGATCTACCAGCAGGTGAGGTGAGGTGAAGGAGACTTGTGACTTGTGACTATACCTGCCCAGACATTTCATTTCACTGAAAAAAACATCACAGGAGTTAAAGATTCCCTGACAAACATTTTACTTTAAGATGCTACTAGTCTAGGTTGATATTAGTAGATACAAGCATCTGAATCATAGAAGAAAAAAGAGCAGTGCAAATAGGCAAGGATATTTAGAAGACATAGTATTCTGCAGTGAACACAACACAGTATTTTGACTACTCAGCTCAGTAACTGTTGAATATGGTAATGCTTGCGTGCATGCAACAGATGGGATGCAACTGTACATAAATGTTTATGAATGTTTTAAAAAGGAGATCTGACAGACGCTCAAAACTCAGGAGGTACCTCAGTCAGGTAAATCAACAAGTCATCACTTAAGCAGAAATCTAGTCCATTTACATCGCAACACTGTGTTTCTGTTATTATTCAACAAAACTCACTGAGCTACAGTAGGTTCACAGAATTTTTTTTGTCAACCATCAACCTCATTGAAAAGGTGCTTCTTGTATTTAAGGCATCTTCCCTTTCACCCAGCGAACACTTCACTACCTCCACCTCATCTGGATGGATTTGGTTTACAGGCTCTCACCTCTGAATTATTTTCTTCAGTGGGATCAATGTCAAAGTCACTTTGTGATATAACTGATTGGATCAGTTCTAATATAGTGCAACACAATCTTTCTTTATTTTTCTCTTTCTATTACCAGGTGCACAGCAGTAGGCAGTGATTTGGAAATAATAACAAAAAAGATATGACCTTTGTTTTCATTGGCAAAGTACTACTGTAAAAAACATAAAAATGAACAAATAAACAAAACCAATGTACACCAAACTACAAAACAACCATAAATGTTTGCACCTGAGGACATGAGGGAGCTGACCAGCACAGATCTGTAGGCCAGTCTCCCTCATAAATGAAACTTTAAAATCAAAATTAAATGAACTGGTAACCAGTGAGGAACGTGTTGTTTCTTTTTAGTCATATAGTTTTTCTTTCGTTTGCAATGCTGAAATCCTGGCCACTACATTCTGCGCAAGGATATTGCTTAAAATCCCATTAAAGATGACAGATTTTCTGAATAGTAGTTAGCCTTACTATATGAATATATTGTTAACACATCATATATCTATAAGATGATCACCCACTAGCTCTGCTATGCATGCAAAGTTAAAGTGCAGCAGAATGGATCATGGGCTGTTTGAATTGAGACCCAAATAAGTGTTCAAATCAAAATAGCTTTTTTATGTAATCAAATGATGTTTTTATTCTTACAACTGCTCTTGCATATATATGTAACCAAAAAGGAAAATGCAACTGTTTTCAGAACACACTAACAGGAGGAAAGGCTCCTGGTTTGATTTTTACTTGGCATTTTCTAAAAGAGCCCCATTTGACCTAAGATTCAATGTGCCACGATGTTCAGAGGTTACGAGTTCGGTAGCCCTCAGCCAGTTCGTCCTCCCCCATGTCAACTAATACTTCACGTTTCTCATAACCAGAAGAGACATCACTAGAGTTTTGTGTCCCATCTTCATCCAAGTTGCCGCCTTCCATGTACTCATGTCTGTCATCGTTCAGGTGCCCTTCCTCCACGTCGTCCCTCACATCTTCACCCTCTCCTGACAAACCGATGCGCCCACGGAAGTCAGGCTCAGCCGTGGGAGTAACAGTAAGTGTGAATTCATCCTCTTTTGAGTGTGGAGAGAGTAGAGGTGTGGGAGAGGAAGGCTCCAATGTTGGCACAGCAAACTCATCTTGACTTGGTCCCACTGTGTCCGGCAGCTTTGGTTTGATAGACTTCAAGATACAAAGAGGAATTAATGTTAGGTTGGTGTTGAAATTTACCTCCTACTTTTGCACACTGAAACGCAATCATTTGCATTAAATGAGGCTCATCATATACAAGCTGATGCGCCAGAGTGAACATACCATAGATGTGGGAAATGGAGTTGAGGCTCTGGTCTTCTTCTTGTACACCAAGACAATGACAAGAAGAACTGTGGTGAGAATCAACATGATGATCACGATGTAGACGATGTAACCTAAACAAAACAGATGTAAAAGTGGATACGTTTAAAAGACAGCCATACATACACACACTGTCTAACCAGAGAAAGGTGTGGTATCAGGGCAGGATTCTACCGGTGCCAGATTCTAATAGTACAGTACATAATACAGGATTTTGTCTGACTCAAACTAGGTGGCTGGGAGTTTGTTTTATTACAATACTGCAAAGAAAAAGCATGAAGAAATTGGTGAAATGACCATTAGTTAAACCAACCAAACAGACCTCAGGGTAAAATTGCTACTTGCAAATTTTTAAGTCAGATTGTATCAGGACTCAGTTCGAACCCACAGGAGTCACAGCATTGTTTGGGGGCCTGCCTCCCACCGTGCTGCTTCCAAAATATGGAAATCGTCTGTACCCCCCTCTCATTCTTTATGGATCAAGGACATTTTTTACTTGGTTAAAATGTAAATAAATTAGATCTTTTTAAGGAAAGGTTCACTTGCCAAATTTAATAAAACATGGAGAAATCTTTTTGTACATGCAGGTATGTAAAAATATTTTTCTCTCAAAAGGATAAATCCTGTATTTTTAAGATTGGACCCTATTTTCCCCATCTTTTTGGGTCTAAAGGATTAATAGGGACAAAAATATTTGCAATGTAATCAAGCTTGCACAAACCATAATTTCTCAAAACTGACAAAATGATAGGCCACGCTTTGAGTAAGCAGCAACACAAAAAAAAAGAAAAAGAAAATTAAAAAAATACAACAACTAAATAATAAATAAAATTTCACCCAACTGTTTTGCTCCGGTGGCATTAGTGGCATGGCGCAGTACAGCTGTGTGGATTTAACTGCCATTCGGTCCACCTCTCCTGTGATGTTCAGACAGTGTTTCTCCTGTGTATCGTCCACTGGGATCTTCTTCTCACACACCGACTTCACACATGAATAACGGTGTTGCTTCTTCTGCACACACAACAAATAGTAAGGCTCCAGCAAACTCATGTTGCTCATTCACATGTTACACAACAAGCATATGATGCGATATGTTGTACTTCTACTAATAAATAAATATGCTACATTAAGAGTAGTATTTCCTGCTTCTGTCTCTGCTAAACCAAGAAGACGCAGACGATGTGAAACTGTGTGCTGTCTGACCTGGCTGCCAACCAGAACTGTGTAATCGAACTGTGGTAGCTGATTTTTCGTAGGTGCATCATTGCTTTTCTTCTGTCGACTTTTTGGATTTGGATTGTTACTCAGCATCTGGTGGTGCCACAGCCACGGATGGAAGAAGCGGTACAGGACATGGTCATATGGCTCAGTGGTGACGTTAACTGGTGGGAGGTCCAGAGAACCTGCAAACCAACAAGAACATGGCATGAACATTAATTGTAAAGTGTAATCTTGATTTCATGTTCAGCTAATGGAAATGTCACAGCCTGAATTGAAATGGAAGTCCAGATAAAGGAATATGTTACTTATAAGTCACTTATAATGACTGCTCCAACATCGTACGACAGAAGGATTTTGTAGATTTTAAGACAAGAGAGGTGCAGAAAAATAAAGATGGTTGGGCACAGACCCCTAATCTGATGTCAGAAAGGTGTAGAGGCAGTTCTGTTTTATTCTGCCCCCCTTTGTTTCACGCTTGGCTATTTTCTGTATTCAGGATCGATTAGTGTATTAATTCAGGTCTGTTTTATCCAACTAAAAAGTTTAAAGTTTTCATGGTTAGCTTAGGGAATAGTGACGTCACTACTCACATTTCTGACGTGTCAGAGAATCCTGGAAATAGCTGAAAGTGATCCCGTTGCGAGGGGCAGGCTCAGACTCATTCTGACCGACCACAGCAATAACTTCCAGATAATAGGAATTGCTTGAATCACTGAGAGATGATATGTCCAATTGTAGCTCTTGTGGGTCCACCCAAAACACCAGAGCAGAGCTGTAGAAAGAAATGAAACAAAGACAAACTTTGTTAAGTTTTGACAACTGAAATGTAATGAGCAGTAAACCCTGATGATGTCATAAGTTACATCAGCATCAGCTTGGGCCTGAAAACCACAAATCAATAAATAAAAGTCTGTCTTACAAACTGGGGGTATAAACTTTGAAAGATGCCGTTGTTAACCAGGCAGGAAGGGCCGAATGAAAAAATACTATCGGTTGCATTGTGGGAAATGTAGGCTTCAGACCAACACTAAGGACTAAAATTAAATATTATGTTATATTAAATATTATCTCCAGTAGTTCTGAACAGTTAAAGCCTTTTTTTTATAATTACACACTTTAAAAGTTTAAGCTATAATAAAGGATTAATATTTATTAACAATTGAAGGCCCTAATCAAGCATTTTTATCCATTTATCCTTAAATCTTTAGAAGTACTTCACTGAATTGGCCACATCCTGGCTACAACTATGAATTACTTTCCAGACATACCCCTTTGAACACTGACTACTTATACAACATAGTGTGTATTTTCTGGTGATCATAACCAGTATAACCAGAACTGTACAAGCATCAAGGATTAGCAAATTAAGTGGATAAATGTGTTAAAATACAGTGTTACAACACAAAACAGTGTAGCATACGTATCATACACACACAATGTATATACTTTAAACAGAGATAGATTGTTTTAAAAAAGGAAACACAGATATTTGGTTGGTAATGTGTCAGGAAAAACCAAAACTAACCCGCTATATGGTTGGATAGTGACTTTAAATCGAATGTCAGGCAAGAGTATGCCATAGTCCCACTCCAGGATGTTGTGGAGGTTATGGCAGCGTAGAGTCACGTTGGTCGGCGGCTCCACTGTGGAAACAGACACACAGAGATGCCAAGACTGCATATATATTGAGGCATTCAAATTTGACACTTCCCGTTCATTGACAGATCTCTTTTACCACAACGAGCAGCAAAATACTGGCCAGAAATACAACAATCCCCCCTCACCACAGAAGAGCTTTTGTGAACATTTACTGCCACTAGAGGGCACTGCATGAAAACTGTTTCACAATACTCCTGTTGAGACAGTATTTTTCCACACAAACAGGGACTCATCAGCCCAACAAACACCAATAGTCCAAAAGCATACAAGTGCAGATACAAATCAGTTTCTGCAGACTTGGTGGTGTCAAGATGATGGCTGGACCTGCAGCTTCAATCCGTGAGATGAACTGCAAATCTAATCTGTCAGAAAATTAACCAAATGTCTTTTCTGGCTCAAACTCAACAACTGAGAAAAAATAAAAAAAAGAGACTTCCTATCCGCCTACACCCACTTCCTCAAATCCAAGGTAGCAAAAGCAGATCACACAAAAACAGAAAGCGTTTTCCCTTTAACCCCATGGGTAATTGACCCTCACATCAGTGCTGTGGTTTAGTTTAATTTCACTGCAGCAACATTACATGAATAAATGAGTTTAACATGTCTGATCAGCACTGCAGAAAGTAGTTTTTTGGTTTTTTGTGTACTGGTTTTGTGTGCAAGTTTACACAAGCCTGACCTTTTACCTTTGTCACAGGAAGCATGCGTGCGCCATAATATTACAGTTAACTGTGTTCACACACCACACACACCGGTGACTCTTCCGCAGGCCCAAAAGATAAGGTAAAAACTCAGGTAGTGTTTGGGGTTTTTTAAGATGTGAAACTCGACTTAGTCCGGGTGTGGCATTTTCAACTTCAACAAAGAAGACAATAAAGGCTTCAATAATGCTTTCAGATGAGTTACTGAACACACCCTCACATTTATGAGTCCCTGCTATTATCGGACAGCTTAAGTAGAGAAAAAAAAAAGCCCATACATTTCAGTTTCATTTCCTCTTCTAACTAACATTTACGTGCATGCACGTGATAACATACACCCCCACATAAACACAGAGGTTAACAAACACACTGGGAGGTGAGAAGACTGAAAGCGAAATCACAGATGGCTGCATATGTACTGTAAAAGAAGTGATAACCGCAACAGTGAAGTTGGTTGCTGAAGGGTGTCACCACAAGGTAGCTCAAGACACACACACTTAACCACATTATTTAACTATTTTAACTTCCATTTTATTTTCTGACAGTTTCATAGACATTTTAGGAAGCCAACATAAAAGTGTGAAATATCTCACTTGTATACGACATATTGCATTTGACATATTACACTAAATACTCTCACAGTCAGTTTGAAAACAGGTTTCAATAATTAAACCCCATCTGTGAAGGATTGGTAAATACTGGAGAGAACCTTTACTGGCTACTAGTTCTACAGCATACACATAAAATCAAAATTAAAGTTAAAAATCCCTCTGCAATCTGCACAGAATATGTGTAACTTTATGTACAAAAACAATATTTAAATCAAACAGTTTTCAAAGCTCCTTTACAGTTTTGACCTTACGTTTATTCATTTACAATCAAAATTGGGGGACTCACTTCAATCAACCAGTTACAAAAAGATCCCAATGTCAAATTTGAGAATTAAGGTCAAGCCCCCAGCTGAGGAAAATTTACCAAACACTGAGCAGCGCACTGAGACTTTTACATGGGTGAAGCAGGTTGTCTCATCTCAGTAACAGTAACCACCGTAACAGACACGGATGATAGATTTATGCCTTCAAAGCAAAACTGTCAATCAGAAGCAGGAAGAGACAGCAGATGCTATCAGACTCAAAATGGAGGTCGCTGCTAAATGACTGAAAACTTTGCTGCTGCACAAACTTCATTGGCCCCTTAAGACCGGATGCAACACATGAATGTAGAACACAATGCAAACACAGCTGCCCAGACAGAAATGGCTATTTTGCAAATAAAGGGCCAGCACCGTGAGAAAGAAGAGAGACTCACAATGTGCTGTATAGTAATTATAATAAAACAATAAAACAATTATGTACATAAAACGTAGCACCCATGTGTAATAGGTTTTCATTATCCCACATTTCAACACCTTTCATTGTTTGTCTTTCTGGTTAAATCTGTTATTCTATTCTATACTGTATATTTCTGTACTTTTATACTTTTCTTTGATTGACTTTGCAACGAAGTGGAGATGAAAGTTCAGTTTCGTTGACAGTACATCTCAGTCAGAAAGAGAATTCAGCTCAACCACAGCCACTAACAGTCACTTCAAAATGCTTTAGAGAAGGGATGAAAAGGAAGAAAACGGAGGCGATGGACAGCATGCTAAAGACATGTTCACAAACTGAACAAAGCAAAAATATGACGTTCACACACATCAAGAAGGTGCCAGAACATCAAGACAAAGTAAAATAGAAGGGTACTCCACCAAGGCAAATGTCAAACAACATACACCAGACTTCAGAGAAAAAACTATAATTACCCCCTTACAGTTTTATTCCTCCGCCAACCAACTAAGTTGCAGGAAATATGGTCACAGTCTCCCCTTCCTGAGTTACAGCTTTGAATAGTAGCCAGAAGTGTTTCTGCAGAATACTGATATCACAGTGAAGTTGACCTTTGGCCATTTGAATATAAAATGTCATCAATTAATTTTATCATTATAAAATATAATCATCATAATTAGTGTATGAATTTGTGAGTTATGGCCAAAATGTCCAAAAACGCAAAAATTCAAATTCACAGTTAATGACCCGGAGGCCTATTCCCTCATCCCTCCACCAAGTTTTGGGGCCAATGGGTTTGGTACGTTTTGCATAATCTTGTTCACAAATAAACAGTGTACCAGGGTCCAGAACTACAGATGTTTCTCACAGCAGACAATTTGACTTGTCCCAGCAGCAGAGACACAGGCATAAATAACATTAAAGATTGCTCTATTCCAGTTTATAATGATAATAAGTAGTTTTTATTATATAGCATTTTTCAGATATTGTTCAACTCACAAGGGCTTCACCTCTTTAAAACAGAAAAATTAAAATAAAAATCACACTTTCAGTATCACAACAGGAAAATGATACTAAAAAAAGGGGAAGACAATGAAGAAACAACCATTCAACCATAAGCCTGGGAAAATTGAGGGTTTTAAGTTGAGCTTTGAAGTGACTTAAACTACTGTCTATTCTTAAGTCCTCAGCAAGTTTGTTCCACAGGAAAAAAGTGACTAAAAGCTATTTCAGCAGATTTGAATCAATTCTGGAAACATTAAGAAGGGTTAGGGTTACCAGAGGGTCAGACTGATCTAGTTGGAATATAGGCAGTGAGTAAATCACTTAAATATTCTAGGGCCATTTAATGATTCTTGGAAAGGAAAAGACAAAAAACGATTTCCGGATGCCGCCAAAAACACTGGCTTCACAAGCCGAAGATTTATTCACAGTTCTCATCATATAACATAAAATATTTCTAACATTGTTATTTGTGCCATTACTTCTTTGTAGAGCTGTGCACAGTGCGTTGATTCGCTCAGCCCTTGCTTGCCCCTCAGAGTGCACAGAGCTGCTGCGTGCATGTGTCGAGACAGCCTTAATTAAATAGCTGGTAAACTGCTTCATATGCTGTTAGATTGTTTTCTTCATATTTTTCCGTCTCATGCTGAAAATCTCCAAACAAGCAGTGCAGAGAGCTATTGAGTGACACTTTAATGGTACATTTCTTCAAAGGCTAAATGAAAGAAAAGTCAGTGTGAAGGTGTCAGTTTGTGGGAAAGCCCCAATAGAGCCACAAGTTGTGCTACACTGTTGTGTACAGTGATTCGTCATGATTATGTACAGGCCGTCCGGGAATTATCGAATTACTAAACAACTGAAACTTTAAAATATCCCAGTACCTGAGTCTCCACCACACGACGAGATGTCAATATTCTGCAAAGCTCCAAACCGTGTTTTATGACAAGCTGCCAATACCCTTCACTGTTTAAGAGCTTGTGAAAGCCACAGTGGAAAGATCAAAGCTCACAGCATGAGTCACATACAGTACCAGGGGTCCACAGATGTGCCCATAAGACCCTCTCTAACTAACAACATACACAGAATACAGTCTACACACCTGCACCACAATACATAGAATCTGTCATGTTTAAGTTAAAAGGTAATGTAGCTGGCTATGTGAGCCGCCTCGGGTCATGGGTCACGAGTCCCGTAAACTGTGTGAATAGTTACAGTCTTTCACGGCTCAGGATGGTTACCTGACTCTGGTTATCTTGTATTTATTTATTTATTTTTTTAAATGTATACTTTATTCAATCAGGAAGTTACATTGAGATCATATACTCATTTACAAGTGAGACCTGAGTACAGAAAAATAAAATAAATGTACATTCAGATATTTATTCATATAAACAAGCAGACGTGTTTATAATAACAACAAACACAGTGTATAGTCAACTGGTGAATGTAGAAGAAATTCAGGTTCCCAGGATAAATTCTCAGAAGCACTTTACTAGTATTTTTGTGTCGCAGCTGAATCATCAAGAATCAAAATGAATTCATTTCTGGACTTTGTGAATCAAAGTTGAATGAAATTGGTAGATCAGTGCCAGTATCCAGCACTACAGTGGTGATACAGAGTGGAGGTTCTTCTCTCACAAAAGATCTTTGGCCGAGTACAGACTCCGGCTGCTGAGAACAACCAGACGGCAGACATATTTAATTCTGGACAGCTATCAAGTGACTTCCTTATAAACTTCCTTCTGGCTAAAAACCAGAAGCTAGGTGACTTAGTACACTGCTCTTTGCTAATGAGAAGAGTAAAGCAAATATGTGTAATGTTATTTTGTCAATGAAGGTTTCAGAGGTTACCTGCACCGGTGCTCACCAACATAGTCACATTAATCAATATGCCCTGCACTGGCTAAATGCCATAAAGGAAGCAAGCTGAGATAGACAGTAGAGTACAGTAGAGGAAGGTTTGCATTGTAATTGCCTATAATTTAGCAGATAGCGATCCTTCAAAAAAGAAAGCTCATGCAAGCCCAGATACCGGCCATTAGAATCTGCTTGGGACATCAAGATTGTGTCAACATCAGATGAAACCAACAACAGTAGGGCAGCTTCTCAAAGGATTTCGATTCCTCTCGCAAATTTCACTTCATGTGTGGGGACACTGCACATGACCACTGCTATGGGGAAACAGGAAAAAAAAAAACTTTTGGTCATAGATAAGAAGACGGCAGTGGCTACCTCACCTCAGGTACGACCATTATGAGCAAGGGCTGAACTGAAGCAGTAAGAGATATGGACAGCTGGATACACAGACAGATACATTTGTAGAAATATTTACTGTTACAGTATTTGAACAGTATGTGTCAACAGATCCATACTGACATGTTGGAACTTGAAGAATTAGCTCTCATTAATTCTTCAGTGTTATTGATGACCGTGCTGCAACTATCTATTATTTTCATTACTATGAGAGAAAATACTCTCGGTTGAGAAGATGGATTAAGGGAAAGTTTAGATAGATTTGCTTGAAATTTAACTTGTTGCTGATCATTTTTCAGCAAATTAACTAACCAATTAATCAAAAACTTCCATGATGTTACAGAGATGACAAAAGGACGTTGAAGGTGGTCAGGGATACATTTGTGGCCTCACTGCACTGCCGACCTTACAGGTACTGACCTTATGTGACCAGTACCTCAGTGCATCTGCAGTGCAGTATATGTGCCCTGTGTTAAGAGCTGATCACATTTAGAGAGAGACAACACATTTATTTAGCTGCAGCACTCCCACAGACAGCAGAGGATCATTACCTATTATACAGTCATTAGTGCACCGCCCATAGCACAACATCGGATCTGAGAGCAGAGAGCTGACGTAAGGCGAAATGGTCATTTGGTCAGTGGATTGAAGTATTGTCTAGACATCCTCACTGTCACGCCCTGAACTGTGACTCTTGTTTTCATTTATTGTCGCCGTGCAGAATTTGTCCCCCACTTATGGTTCTTTTCTATGTGTTTTATTTCTCAAAAAAAGCAAAATACCACTGAATTACAAACACAAAGCTCCTCATTCTCAGAGATGTTTACTGACGCATGTGCTGCATGTATAACAGAAGAGTTTCCCTCTTTTTGTGCAATTGCAGGCGTACTGCATGGTTTGACTACCGCCCATGTAGATACAAGTCTGCCTGTAAACTGTGCCATATCTTACACAACCGAAGGGTCTTGTGTAATACCGAAAACTACAAAGAGGAAATAAAGAAACGGAAGAGAAGTCTTTATTAGTAGGTTTGTTAATCAATCATGTGAAAGCTTAAAAGCCTATGTGATCTATACACATATTTACAATGTTTAACATATTCTGGGATCAAACAGTCCCATGGTAGAAAGTCTTTTAAAATGTGATCTCATCCTTACAACTCCTCTCCTATCAAATTACAGCTGTTTAAATGATCAGATATAATGTAGAGCACCTATGGGCAACATCTAGATCTATAAATGAATTGATACTATATTAATCCCATTGGAAATAAAGGCATCCATTATCTTACTTGATACAGACATAATAATTACATAATAAGAAGCAATAACGATTAATATAAAGGATTAAATAATAATAACAATGATTCAAAAAATTATATTTTTTGTTTCTTTGTGGCCGTTCTGAGTCTCCTTTTAGACATTTGACTGACTTTCCAACAAAATATATGATTAGTCACTTCATACAGAGGCCCTGGTTAATGATCCACCCAGGACCGTAACACGCTACACGGGGACAGTACATAAAGGCAAGTGATGGTCGTGCACACAGAGGCCGAGACAAGACGCTTTCCTGGCTGCAGTGGCTCCATACGAACCCCACCTGCCAATGTCGCAGTGATATTTTAACCTAACAAACGCTTCTTTCTTTCTTTCGTTCTCTCTCTCTCTCTCTCTCACTCACACACACACACACACACACACACACACACACACACACACACACACACACACACACACACACACACACACACACACACACAGAATATGTATTTTGTGTTCATATGCCGCAGGGAAAACAGCTACTCCCTGGTAGCATGCAGGGTGCTAACTGTAAGCTAGCAGGAATTTACCGTGTTTTCCTGTGACGGAGCGGCCCCACTTAATCTCACCTCTTCATACAAACAGCAGCCTAACACTCACGCCGTGCTTCTATTCGTGCTGTAAATCGTTTGATAAGTTTTGATTTAACAGACAATTCAGAGGTGTGAGCTAGCGTATAAAGTGTAAAGTAGCTACTTACCGTAGGCCAGTGAGACTGACAACAATCCCAGGAGGAAAAGTGGATAACAGCTAATGAGTTCCATACTCCGTTTGCAGCCCAAATATCACCGTTTCTTTTTCTTCCCAGTTAACCTTAAACGATGCTACAAGACTAACAAATCAAACGGCCCCTCATGACGCCGAGGAGAAACAACAACAACAGGCAGAATCAGACAGCTCGTCTCCCAGACCCAGCTGCGTCGATCGCTGCGCTCCGCGGGAGTGCTCCTAAAAAGCGGATACAACGAAGCGCTGCTGCTGCCGCTATTGCTGCCTTTCCTAAACCTCGTAAATCTAAATCACGCCTACAGAGGTCCTTTTGCCGTTGGTTCATGTGAGAGAATACGTGCCATTAATGATTTATGTTAAATGATTTAACTGCACAGTAAAGTTCGAGTTGCTCGTTCATTTACCTGCTCTCAGATTCATTTGCTGTGTGTTATAAATCATTCATATAAAATATCCCTATCTGCATTTAAAGACTGACCTGAAATTTATATAGGCCTACATACATTTTTTGCCACAATTTATGTATTATTATTATTATTTTTTATCTAAGCAGGTAAGTAAATGTTTGTCTAAGTGCTTCACATGGTCCAAATGAAACATACAATGTTAGAAGCTTGTGAGGGTATACGTGTTTGTACTGCAACTGCGCGTGACCCTATGTGATAGCAACTGTAGCTACACTGTGTTTACTTTGTACATGTGCCTTGTACTGAGGGGATTAATGGTTCTATTGTCCTTTGCGGATTTAAAAAGAAAAAGTTTTTATCTGCAATTGTGAAAGTTTACATCAGTAGCGAGTTAACATGACTCCACACATACTAATCACTCATGTTATGTTATGTGTACATATACACTGCTTAAGAGCAGACAGTCTATCCAGGAGCTGAAGGACCCCTGTGTTGTTCACTCCCTTGACTGGAGGGGGTCAGCCCTATGTTCCCACAGCCCTATGTTCCCAGATTTCTAAGAATGTTTTGAAAATTAGGCCCTATTTTCCCACAGTCTTATATGTTCCCATAAGCCCATGTCCACACTAACCCAGGTAATATTTATCCGGTTAGCCCTTCCGTCCACATTAGAACGGTGAATTCCGAAACTGAAAACGATGCTTTACAAAAACGATCGCTGAGGTGGATAAATGTGAAGACGCCGTGGAACGTGGATGCAAAGCGTTCTGAAAACGATTAGTGTGGATGGAGATTGTTTTCATTGTGAATGTGCATTTTTATATTTACCTGGGTTAATGTGGACAAGGCCTAAGATTTTTCTCAAAAGGAAACCCTATGGTCCCATATTTCTTAACATAGGGCTGTGGGAACATAGGGCTGTGGGAACATAGACACGCTCCCGACTGGAGGCTCAGTTAGTTATATCTTGGCAAACTGCTATTGGGCCCTGGGTCAGCATGACTATATCAGAGCTTTGCTTGAGACAGACAGTGAACTTTTGCTTTTAGGGCTTTCTCCTAAGTGACCTGAGGAAACACTGCCTGATAATGAGACCTAAAGGAAGGAAATGTTCTTCACAACAAATAAAAGTGTTGCTTTCAAAATGTTAGTTAAGCAAAAGTAGGCTCTTACCAGCATGCCTTAAGATGATTCACTCCCCTAACTCAGAGAGTTCATGTTGTAACATGTCATTGTGTGGCAAAGTATTGCAGCATATTTTCTACGATCCTAATATGTTGTGCATAAATTCTTAATCTGAAAATATAGTCTCAGATAGCATAAATTAAAAAGCTCAAGTCAAGTACAAGGGCTTTGCATTACTGTTCTGTTGAAGTCGGTGTTTCGTCATTTCTGCTGCATTCATTCAGGCTCAAGTCCAAATAAGATATGTCCGACAGCCCCTGAATGCAGCAACAGTCTGCTCGTGTTTTCGTAGCGTAGCCGGGAAATGACCAGCTTTTCCAAGTACTTTGCCAAAAATACCTTCGTATCCTGTGCGGGAAAATACTGATTATTTAGGACATTTAATTAATCAACTACTGTGTTAACTACTGACAGATACATCATTTAAAAAAACATGTTATGCAGTTATTACGTAAAATATAACGTTCATATAACGCACAGTAAAATACAGTTTACAAAATACCATTAGTATTGACTTTTGGCTGTGTTGTGAACATGAACATACCTCTAGGCCTATGGCATTTCCATTAAACAACCCTTTCACAATATATATATATATATATATATATATATATATGAAATGACCTAAAGGTGTAGCCTACCATTATTTAGATAAAGCAGGTTTACATGCAAACTAGTGTTTGAATTAACTATTAAAAACAGACTCTGCGGGATGCTGTTTGTCTCTGGTCTTTTCTGATTAGAACAAACTTACCCTATGTTTGTATACAATACTTGAAGCTGAACTCAGTCAACATGTGAGTTTCAGCTTCTTCTGTGGAACACTTCCCCCATCCTGACGTCAGCTGGATGGAGTTATTTTTCCTCCCCATCCCAGCCTCACACTGACGCATTCACATATCAGCTCTTCAGGAGCGGCCTGAGGTGAGTTACACACCAGAAAACTGGGATACTTATTTTATATGTAGGCTACTTACATTGATGAGCTATAAATGTATGTTTGTGTCCTGCAGTTAACTCCTGTAGACTGGAAAAGGGACGGATAGCAAGTCTGCTGTATATTCTCATATTACATTACATAGCTTGTGCATTCCTGTGTCTGTGTTATGTAATAGAAACATTCTCGCAAATCTGTTCAGATGAGAAACTGCAAGATGTGTCACAAATAAATTCTGCAACTGCTTATAATGGTGGACTGACAGCTGGGATATATTTATTTCACTTGTCATCCTGTTGTTAGCCTCCAATAACTTTTTTCCTGAGAACAGATGAGACAGTGGCAATGGAGGATGCGCTAATTTCACTGGGATTTCATCTAAATTTAAACAGAGGAAACTTCACCCCCGGCCCACAAAAATGAATCTGTCGCCATATTTCAGGCTTGAGTCACTGAGTCAGTCAGTGATTCATAGCTACACCAGATACGTAGTCAGTCTTGGTGGGCGGAAAGTCTGAGAGTTATTAGAGCCAAAACACAGAAAGAAAGATTATGATCCTGTCCTGTGGGATGGCGACTCATATTTCTTGACATAAGCAGAGGTGGAGTGTTGCAGTTTTGAGGCCAGAGGAAAAAGCAACCAGTGGCACTTTGAATCCTGACACTCACTCTTCATATTCCACCTTCATACATTCCCAACAAGCTGGGCTGTGTGACAGTAATACTAGGATATGATCTGTCGAAAGCGCCTGTCCGGCCCGTAGTGTGCCTAACAACATCAGTGGTGGAAGAAGTACTCAGATCCTTTATTTAAGCAAAAGTACTTAAGTACTTAAGTAAAAGTACAAAAGAATTATCATCAAAATATACTTCAAGTAAAAGTACTCATTATTATTTTAAAATGAATGTATTATGTATGTATCATGAATGTATCATATCATCACCTTTATGTTACACCTGGTGAAGGTTGAGCAAATCTTTTTTTGCAATTAAACCTCTTTTTTGCTTTTTTTTTCAGTTTACAGACATACATTAAAGACAAAGAAAAACATACTTCACACATATACCCTAGAACCCTAAAAGCCCCTTAAAAGTACAAACTCATGCTGTGCAGCCAAACATTGTTCAAACCCACAAAACTGTGCTTTAAATTCTAGTAGAGAAAGAATATAGCAAATATATCAGGGTGAACTTGGATGTTTAATGTACTTTAGATGATAATTCACTTCTATGTAATGTCGCTCAAGGCCAGAGCAAGAATGTAGTGGTCAACTCTGTCCCGGCTTCAAAATGAGGCAAAAAGTCATGTTCCTGGTCTGATATTATTGCCAAACCCGAAAATCTACCCAGACCTCTGCAAAAGCCAAGATTTCAAAACAATGTTTTCCCTGGAATCTCTCAACGCAATCTCCACAGTTGTAATTTTCTAAATGTGTGTGTGTGTGTGTGTGTGTGTGTGTGTGTGTGTGTGTGTATGTGAAATTCAATGTGGATTTCCAGTGCCAGACAATGTATCCCCAACTGAAGAGCAGGAAGAACACACCCATCACAGAGACTCCACATCCTCTCTCTTCACATTTTGGCATGAGGAAGACACGGGGCAGCGACCTCAGACCATTTTAACCCCAATATTAAATTACAACCATCTCCTACATGTGAGAGTTGACTAGGTCTGAGAGAGGGATGGGTTTACTAACATGGCCCGAGTGTTTTGTTTTCATATAAACAGTTATTTCACTCCAGTCATGCTGACTTGTGCTGTGAAGAATGTCAAGCTGATTTCATTACTGTTTGCATTGATGCACAACAGCCCAGAGCAAGATGGAACAAGTTCACGCCTGGTCCCTGTGGTCAGTCAAAAGTTGCTGCTGTAGATCATGAACTGAGTTAGTGCATTCAGAAAGTATTTAGATCCCTTTCCCACATTCTGTTATGTTGCAGCCTTATGCTCATTTAAATTAATTATTTTTCTTATCAATCTACACTCGATATCCCATAATGACAAAGCAAAAGCAGAATTCATTAAAAAGGAAAAAAAGAAATATCACATTAACATAAGTATTCAGACCCTTTGCTATGACCCTTGAAATTTAGCTCAGGTGCCTCCCATTTCTCTTGATCATCTTTGAGATGTTTCTACGGCTGTTTCTCAGAGACAGGATTGTGTCGAGGCACAGATCTGAGGAAGGTTCAGAGGTGCACAGTCGCCTCCGTCATTCTTAAATAGAAGAAGTCTGGGACAAAACAAACAGGATTCCCCCTTGAGACTGAGAAGGGCCTTGGTAAGAGAGGTGACCAAGAACCTGATGGTCGCTCTGGCTGAGGGATCATGGAGCTTGTGGGTGTGTTTTATTTCTTATCTTAACATTTTTCTTATATTAAATGTGTCTTCTCTACAGGCTCAGGTATATATACCTGAACACCAACCAGCATGCTGCCTGAGACTCCCCTCCAGCAGTGATGCCAGCCTTCAGGCCTCCTGCTCCTCTCCTCTGTGTGCTGCTGTGTGTGTCGGTGGCTCTGCAGCGCTCTGACCTGCGCCTGGCTTATGTGACCCACAACAGCTTTTTCTACTACTCCTGCAGCCAGGACCCTCAACCCTGCAGCGTCCCATCACTTACAGACTGCAGATGCAAGGACATTCAGCTTTCCACGCTGCACCACCCCCAGTCGCACTCGTCTCCTGTCTTCCGGATGAGACGTTTAACTGTTTGGTTTACGTCGCCACTGAACACGGCACGTCTGCTCAACAACTCTGAGGTGAGGCACCTCACTCTGATCCACTGTGGTCCTGGAGGATCCAGGGGGACGCCTTCTTCTTCGCTGGAGGGACATTTTGCTGTGCAGCACCTGGAGAGGGTGACGGTGATAAGCCTGCCGCAGAAGCCGCTTCACCACTGTCCAGATGCAAACAGAGCCAGGAATACAGACTCAAACGCGGACCCAGATAACAGTGCTCACCTAGACACAAATAGATACAAGGATAGAGACACATATCTGGACCTGATCGTGGACATGAAGAGAGAATCCTTGGGTTTGTCCCCGTCCCAGATACAAGACATCTTCCTGGGCAGGGAGCTGGGAGCAGCGTACCATGAACAGGCCAGACTGGGGATCATCCACAGCTCTGTGCTGGAGTGGGGAGCAGCGGTCAAAGCCTACACAGTCCAGACACACATAGACAGTGATGGTGTTCTTCCCTTTCCTGACCTCCACCTGCCGAAATTACCAGAGACATCTGTCATATATGTCAGCTTTGTGTACTAATACCAAGTAACTTTTTGAAGGGTGCAGGTGGGAACAACAGGAGAAAGAGGAGCCTGGAAACAACCACTGTCTTGCTCTCAACTGAGTGTCAGTTTTGGATTAAATGTAAGATTTCTGTGTTTTTTTTTTTGCAGCCCCACACTTCTGATTTACATTTTTAAATTAATCCCTTTATCCTCTTAAGATGGGAGATAAAGTGTCTGTTAGTTTACAGATTATGTTGCATTTAAAGTTGGGCCAGTAAGTAAGTTTCTTCAGGCTGACATTCATCTCCTCCAGATTTGCTTCCAAGTAAATGTTATTTTTAAAACTTTGTAAGAATAAACACAAAAAAGAATGAAACAATGAAACTGACCCGAAACTCTTTCCAAAACATCAGGGCATAATGTTCAGCAAATGCAAAACTGCAGTTATTTCCTGAAAGTGGTCTCCTGGTAACATTGTCCAACTGACACTGAGAAGGAAATTGAATGAGTTTGGGAGATTTTGCAATTGTTTTTGTGTGCAATAGCTTTAATCATAATTTTCCCAAGTGAAAACTTTGCACAGCTGTTTATCAGCATGTTAGAGCAAAGTATATCAACTAATGAGAGACCCTCTGTGGGACCAGAACAGCCCGCAAACCCCCTCCAGCTCAAGTATCCTTTGTTTCCAAATGATGTTTATACTGAATTGATTATATAATCTCCAACAATTGTTTTCCAGTTGAGCACTTAGTCTTCTCTGTTCCCTTGTTTTTTTCTCTTTCTCACAAAGATAGAAAATGTGAGCTCCCACCATGAGGTGTGTCCTGAAACAGCTCTGATCCAGATGCTGTATTTACACTAAATGTAGCCTAATGCTGATGACTGAGACGTTCCAGGTTGATGTACTGCACCAGTTGTTTCTATGATGCCAGATGTTGTGAATACATGCAGTGTCCCATGTACTTGAATACTCAGAGACCTTTCAAAGTTATCAAGTGAAATGAAAAGAAACTCAAGACTCAAGAAAACTCTGATCCACAGATGTGTTCGGTTTGAAACATGAGAGTAAATGTGTTGTATAATGTTCCTGTTAGATTCAAACATTCAGAGCTGTTCAGTTTGGAATCTAATAGCATGGGTGGTGCCGCACATTTTTCCCTATGAGAGAAAGAAGGATCTACTTATAAGCAAAATGTCATTACCAGAGGGAGGACATCAAGCTAATCTGGATTTCTGTGCAGGATTAATCCCTCCCCGCTTGTTTCTACAGCTGATCCTGACCTCTGACCTCCGACCTCTAGTCTACAAGCAAAAGAAAGCAGAAACACACACAGTTATTTATGGATGGCATCTGTGATACAAGTGGAGCTCCAAGTACATGCGAAACACATGTATACTTACAAAATTGAACCACAAGATGGCGGCAGATACATCTGAGTCAACCAGACTAGACCTGAAGAGTTGAGGAAGGACTGAGCAGAGCATGAGGGGAAAGGTTGTTTTTTTCTGTTATTTTTTTAAGTTAGGTGAACGCTTAAAGAATTCAGTTAACCTTACATTGAACATGTGTCCTGACACGTCAGCACTTTAAAAGCTTGTGAGGAATGTTGTGTTGTAGGACAGAGGTACATTGCCTGATATTTATTTGTTTAAAATAAGTAAAATGAACAATGTCACCGCTTACATTTGTTTATACAACAAAAACATAAATAAATAATTGACTTATCATTCATGTCTTGTGAATTTAATTATGAACATAATTTGTCATATTTTGTGTCTATACTAAATCATAATAAAAGTCTGGCACATGAATATAAATGAAATAAAAGATTGTGGCAAAACTATCCTTTATATTTGGACATATGTGTACATGATGGCCCTGCAGCATTTCTGATATTGAAGACACATAGTCAGCATCTTTTAATGGATTCAATGTGCACAGTATAAAGTGCAAAGGCTTTGCATAAGCAAGCTCTCTGAAATCACCTTTCAAAGGTGTGTTCAGTCTGATGAAAGGGTTCATGTGGGGATTTTATATTTCATATTATTGTTTTTGGGATATTTGTTTTACATCACTGGTCATTAGGAGATACAACTGTATCTGTCAGGTTAAAACCACGTATCTGCGGTTATATTTATAAGTGTCCCGTTTAAAGACGCTGCATGCGCACATAGGCCTTCATGTGCGCGCGCGCACGTTTTGCGCTTGTTGAGTGTGCGCTGACACCTGCCAGAGAGCCGCTTATTTGCATGATAAACGTGCAGCCCATCTCGTTTAGCGCCCTCTGAATGCAAACTGATGCCGCCTGTTGATCCCGCACCTGAGAGGGTCAGCACCCACCCCGACACACACCGGGGGCAATTACCGGAGAAATCACCAGTGCTGCTGGTGGTGGTGAGGCAGCCGGGCTGCTCTCACAGAGCAGGCGGTGGAGGGAGGGAAGATCGGCCGCTCTCCTTATGGAAATCACCCCTGTGTGTTTAAAGGCTGGCGTGAACCGTGACCTGCACTTGGGATAAATCTGAAGACAAACTACCTCCAGTAAAAGCAAATCAATTACGTGTTCAGTCTGATACTCAGGATGCGTAGAGCCCTCTGAATGCACACTGTAAATATTTATGTCAGTCTAAAAAGGTGGACAGGCCGAGACTAAATTGGATTGATTTTAGGATGGTGTGTCCCTCCTCTGCACCCCTCCAAGTGAGTCTTTAACCACGCTGCCGCCGTCTCCTCACCGGCAGTTTAGCAGTAAAACATTTTTATAATCAGACGTTATTGTTCGCCGCCTCCTTGTGGGAGATGCGCCCATGTTCATTTTTTAAAAGGGCAAATCAGCCATAATTCAGTTTATAAACTGCAGCGCGCAGGGGAGAAATGCCTGGATGAATATTCATTAGAGCCCGCCCGAACTGCCACGCTCGGTGATTCATTAGGCATATGTAAATATCACTCACTTTAATTGCCCCTAAACTGACTCAACATAATGTTGTCATTAGCAAATTATTACTTATTTGTGATAGGCTACTAATGGTACGGTATGGCGCACAGTGCTGAAGCTCCACATATATGATTGCAATTACAGCTCTTTTTATTCACAGGGTGACCGCGGAATCTGATGGATCATTCCGTGTGTGTGTGTGTGTGTGTGTGTGTGTGTGTGTGTGTGTGCCTAAGGTGCCAACAATTAATTTCACTGACACATGCATGGGCCATTTGAGTTTATACATACATACAAAGAGAGCTCAGACTTCTTTAGCCTAAATGTTGTCTCTTATAATCATATGATAATTTGAATCAAATTAATTTAAAAATGACAACTACTACAAAGAAAATTCAATTAAAGATTTACTTTATAATACAAACCTATATGCACTTATGCAACAAGAAATACAAACCACCCTGCTGGATGAGAACTATATAAATGGGCAGTTTAAAAATAATTAACTCATGGTTTCAAAGATGGGATGGATGTAAAAAGATGTTTTTTTTTCATCATCTCTAACACTGGTTTCTGTACCTGAATTATTCAGAAACTGATGTTCAGCTGAAGTCCTTTAAAAGTGCAGTTCAATTAAATGGTATGGAATCTGAATTACAGAAACATTTTGATCATGGACTGAAAATTGCTGGTCGTTTTACATTTACAGTTCAGTGTACAGTATATCTTCAATGTTCTATCAAAGTTTGCCAATAATGTTGATTAATATGGTACAAACCCAGAATAAAAAGGAGAATTTTCTTGTTATCTTGCAAATACAGCAGATATTATTGGTCAGAAATAATCATATTTAAATACACTGTGGGCCTATATGTTTATCCAGATGTGAATAGGTTAAAGTTTTGCAAAATTCACGAGATCCATGTTACTCTCAGGAAATATTCCAAAGATTGATTATATTTTCTGGATTTACATCTGTGATATTTATTTATCCAAACACAAAGAAAGTTTAGCTTCACAGCAGCCAAAGCTCCGCATCAGATATCTGACATTTACCTAAATCCTCTGACTCTAAACTCTCCCATGACTCATACTGAAACCAGGGACTGTCTCATTTTTCAAAATAAACTACTGTTTTTTCTTTCTTTCTTTCTTTCTTTTTTTAAAAATCCCTCCCCACTTGTCACAGGCTGCACAACACGACTTGGTTTGGAGTTGTTTTATAGAGGCAGCAGCAGTTTGAAACAACAACCATGACAGAACAGGCCCACAAAACAGAGGGACAGAAAGACGGGGAGGCAGAGACAAATAACAGAGTGTGTGTGTGTGTGTGTGTGTGTGTGTGTGTGTGTGTGTGTGTGTGTGTGTGTGTGTGTGTGTGTGTGTGTGTGTGCGCGCGCATGTGTGTGCGCATGTGTGTGTACATCTGTGAGAGAGTGTGAGGGAGCTAATAAAGTAATGTGATGGATGATCTCCTTTCTCCCAGAGGGACCAGCACCATGTAAATTGGCCCACACAATGCATTATGGATAAGGCAGTTGAGATTATAGCTTGTTAATGTGTCCTCCCTCTCCCCTCTCCCCCCTCCCTCCCCCTCTTCTCCCTCACTCTCTCTCTTTCCTTCTCTCTCTTTCCATCCCTCTGCTTCGGCTCAGGCAGTGACATGGTCACCTCATTGTCGGGGCGCGTGGGTCTTTTAGGTGCAGATGGAGAGGAGCTGTACTGCAGCGATCTGCCAGGCTTAGTGGAGGAAGTGTGTGTGTGTGTGTGTGTGTGTGTGTGTGTGTGTGTGTGTGTGTGTGTGTGTGTGTGTCTGTGTGTGGATGTGTGTGGATATTACTGACATTGTGGGGACAAATATGTGTTAAGATCATCAGGACTCCCCTCCCATATGGGGACAAAAGCTGGTCAGGACATAAATGTAAGTCAGTGTCCACCTAAGTGACCGAAACAGGTTATTTTTGTGTGTGTGTGTGTGTGTGTGTGTTCTTTGTGAGGACCAGTTTAGGGTTAGCTAGGGTTGGGCATTTAGTTGTGATGGTTGAGGTTAGGGTAAGGAGTATCCTCACAAATATACAAACAAGTACAAATATGTGTGTGTATGTGTGTGTTTGTGTTTGTGTGTGTGTGTGTGCGTGTGTGTGTGTGTGTGTGTGCATGCGTGTGTGTGTTTGTGTGTGACAGCAAGCCAGCCTCAGGCAGCCAGCAGGGACAGTCCATCGGCAGGGGCCAGGGCTGTGGACATATGTCTCCTCCCTCCCTCAACCACCCTACACCCCCCCGTCAGTCCTCCTAAGAGGGTGCCAACCCCCCACAACCTCCCTTCCTCTACCCCCCCACCCACCCCTCACTTGTTTGGCCCCCTCCCTCCACCTTGCAAGCCTGTCCAGGGACCTGTCGGGCCATCTGTTGAAGCAGGACTGGAGGAGCTGGTCTCGAGGAAATGCTACTGTAGCATGGCTATGTGGCTTGTCTGGTTGTCGCTAACTAGCAGGGGTATTGTATGTTTGTGTGTGTGTGTGTGTGTGTCTGTGTGTGTGTGTGTGTGTGTGAGAGAGAGAGCTAGAGAGTCTTAGTGGAGATGGAGCATGTGTTGGTTGCAGGGTGTGTGTCAGGGTGTCCCCGGGTAGAAGGTCCCTCACAACTAAAACTAGAACGGCACTCAGTAGAGCGCCAAAACCAAACCACAAGATCTGGTTTATTATCTGGATCTGCAACAATTTGTACAAACTCATCAATCTCAACAACATAAATATGTCTGATGTTTCACATCAAGATCCATACATTATTTCCTGCATCAGAAATTGAGAAAAATGTTGAAAAATCTCACAATATTAAGGAACGTCGCAGATTCCCCTTTAACCGGATCCAAACCACCATTTAATGGGTTCTTCCCTGGCCCATGGCCCGTCCTTCCACCAAGTTTGGAGCACATTGGTACTTTTTTAGCGTAATCCTGCTGATAAACAAATAAACAAACCAACCAACAAACAGACATGCTTCAAACATTTCTACATGCTCCTTGATGTGAAGAAAAAGGCAGAACTACATTACGAGGGCAGTGCAGCGTTGTGTACCGCTGTATCTACTGTGCTTCTCACTTGCAGTCCGAGGGCACAGTTTTTACGAATCTGAGAGCACACCTTATAAACCGTGTGCACAGATTTCTAAACCCAGAACCAACACATTTACACAAGGTTTTTGTTCGGCAGCCAGCTCTGAAATGAAGCATCCTATTCACAAGCTTCAATTCAAAACTTCCATGGTTTACAGCAATCGACTTAAAACTTGTGGCATGCGCTTTGGAAAATGGTCAACAGGGATGTAAAACATATGCAATCTGCACTCCACTAGCTAACAACATTCAAAAGCAGCTGTATGGTCCTTTAAGCAGTCTAATAAACAAGAGTCCAGGAGCCGGCAGGAAAATGGCTGAACGATCCCACTGAGAGCTCAACACCTGCACACACTCAGCTCACCAAAACAGCTGCTGTGATGCACTGATGGAAACATATTTCCCTCATGTTTGGAGATCTGCTCACGAAATCAGATCTTTGTTTACGCTGTGTGACTTCAGTTATCTTCAGGGAACGCAAACCTGCTGTTGGAATCTTCTCGTATGGGGATATTTAATTGTAGCTGTGGCATTTAACAGACTTTGTCCATTTCCAGGCATTTGTCTTTTTTTTAATTCAGTTCAAGGACTTTGTTTTCAAAAGTGCACAAAAATACAGAAAAGTCACCATCATTTCTGTTTCTTCACATGGTCAAATGTGCTGTTCCTTAGATAAATTTGTCAGCAAATCACAACTACAGGTGAAACAGGCATGCTGATTGGCTGATTGCATGAACCTGACAAA